ATATTTATTATGTTTTCTTGTTGCCACTCGTAATTCATATTTATTTTTGTATTTCTTTTAATTTGGTTGTATAATTTAAATTCTTGGTAAAATATTCGGCTTTGATGTCATTGATTAAGTTGGTCAAATCTATTGCAGAGCTAATTGAAAAGTTTTGTGTATCAAGATTTTACAAACTTATACGCGGAAAACGAAGGTAACCGTGAAGAAAAGGGTACATGTGGGCGAAAAATTAAGATTTTCAGTTTACAAAAGAAAAGTAATGTAATGTACAGGGGCCAAAATGAAGATTTTCAGTTTACGAAAGAAAAGTAAGTAAGAAAAATAATTTTCAGTTTACGAAAGAAAAGTAATGTCCTACTATAACAATCGTCCAGCGAGAGTATGCATTATCTGCATTGGAAAGCAGAAACATCATTCCGACCGGATAACTTGGAAAGCTTTCGGCTATTGCTTAAAAGTGCATCTCTAGCTGAGGAGTCGGCGAATTGGTATAGTACTCCACGAATGCCTACATATTTTAATGAATTTAAAGAGAAACAATAATAGGCCTAATTTAAAAATTGTACCAAGACAATGAGATGAGACAATGTATGGTCTTGGCTCTTCTATAATTGTGGCAAGGTTATTCTTACACCACTCAGAGTCTCAATGTGAACTTTGCTCCTGAACACTTCCAACATGTGTTAAGTTTTGAAATTAACATCATTTTTTTTTTATATTTTAAGATTAGAAATATCAAAGTATTTTGTGTAAACAGTTCCTTGACCTCTTAAAAACAGTAGTTTTAATTAGTTATTTTTTAGTTACATTTTTGGTTTCGTTACCATTTTAAAATTTAACTCAATACCTTTTATTTTACAGCTTAGCATAAACAAATTTTCGTTAATTTGGATAATAGGATATTTTTTTTTCCTAAATCCAAAATATTTTTTTTCAGTATGTAAAGTGCTTCTTGCACTTCTTGCAGGAAGTTGCAACATATGCAAAAAAAAAAAAAAAAGGAATTGGGCACCAAGCAATCGACTATTGAGCAAAAATAAAGGGCGAGAGATATAATCCAAAGGAGAAAATCTTAAAACAATACAATGATAATCACTTTATACACAGCATGAATATTGATAACATGCAAGGGAAATCGAGTAACTGTGCATTCGATAAAAAACTAAATTTCGGTTTATAGCCACTTACATAAAAATTGAATCGAAGCTCGGTGAGGTAATATATTCCATAGGATTTAGGCAGTGCAACAACTAAGCATTCCCTTATATTAAGTAAATTGAAAACGCGTTTAGCTACATTGCAGTCTACGTCCACGACATAATTATCGCATGTCTAGTCTAAGATGACACAGCCGAAATCAAGAAGATTAAAGCTCAAAATGCACAACGGAGGTTTCATAAGTTCTTTCCTATTCACGGAAATTGAGAAGGACGGTGAACAGGGTTAAATATTGCAATGCCAGAAGTCACAATTAGAGATTGTAGGAACTATATGGGATGAGCAAATATGGGGATGTCGGCACTCAACTTGATACAAGCTTTTCAGTTGACTATAGTAATATAACACAATATATTGGTTCGCTTACCGATCATTACTTTAAAAAATAGAGTATAAAAAGAGTATATGTAAGCACAAATAGAAGAGTAGCTGATGTATTGACTGAAATGGTTAAATAAATCGAGGAATAAAATTGTATTTAGTTGCTTGGATTTAGCATAGATAGGCATTTATTAGTTGAAAATTATTATATATAGTTTAAGAAGTATTAATTATGTAATATAATGTACCCGACATTTAACTGATATCATTTTACTCATGCTGGTATTGCAAGCAGATTTAGTTTTTAAAAATAGAATTTCCATGAGTGTATCAACATCAATCACACAAGGGTTTATGATACTGACACGTATCTTGTGATAAAAACAAAATTTTTAAAAATTAAAAAATAACATGTAAGAAAGTTGGAAATCCCTGAAACGAAGGACCCCAACATCATGACTCAAAGAAATATTTAATCAGCGATGCGATTCATCTCTAAATTTAAAAAATGTAAATTAAATAGCAGCTGATAATCCTAACTCAATGTAATCGCAATTACGTTTATTCAAAAAAAGAAGGATGTACGCGTTTGAATGTATGTATGTGTATGTATAGAAAATGCGTACCCTTGGCGCTGCTTCGTTTATGTTAAATAGTATCCAAATTAATCATTTCATAGCTCTGCAGTATTTATCCAATCAACTTCCATAAGTTTGTCTTAAAATAAAATCAAATAGGCTGCTGTAACATAATATTATAAAAATTAAATTTGGAAAAAGTATAAAAAAACACTACAAATTTGGTAATTAGGGTAGCGACACCAGCGAAAATTTTTATTTTTTTTTGTTTTTTTTTTATAATGAAATTGTTATATTTAAAATATAAGATATTTTAGAGCAGATTAGTCTATGGCGGTCACGCCTTTTTTCGGAAGCACTTCGAAAATTGGATTGGACATCAAATTGTATAAATCAGCAATATAATTAATGTAATCATGAATTAAGCTTGCTGGACGCCTTTAAAAACTTTCCTTTTTGGCTTATATTGTTTCCCGGACCTTTTTGGCCAATCATTCCGAAACATTCCCGATGATATTTACCTGGGGAGAGTATGAGGGCTATTGAATAACCTCGACGTTTTAGGAGTAGGATTTGTGGCATTTGATGCTGGAAATGCCAGTTTATATTCTCAACTTTTCGAGTTACAGACAAAATGTTTTTAATACGTAATTACATCTCTTTGCAATAATACGCAAAGTTAAAAATTACAATTTACAGGTGCCATTATAAGATGTGGTTCCTTACACCATCACACCCTAATCCGGCTATACAAGCAATCGAACTGAGCTCAAAATTAAGCCCATTCGGGACTTCCAAATTAAGATTTTTTATCGGAGCAAAATAAGTACTTCAACTGGGAAGGCCGAATCATATACATTTATGCAAAATTTAGGTGTGATTTGCTCCGAAGTTTATTAAGTGGGGGCTTATTATTGTTTAAAGCTTCTGTAGATATCCAGCTTTCGATATAGAACTTTAGAACTTAGCTTACGACAATTTTTTTTGGGTGGAACATCCTTCCGTCTCACCAATTACCACGAATGTAGTTTTTTTCAACAGAATTAGCCATTTCCAAGAAATAATAGTTGTTTAATGTTTGTCTGTTTTTTAAGCGTTTTTTTGTCCATATAGTCGAGAATCGATGTAAGCTTTAATCATTGATTTTTCCCCTAGAGATAAACTCAAATTTCTTCACATTGTAAATTTTTTCGTAAAGATCAATTTCTTTGTATACGCAAAAAAATTGGTAATTGTGGTTACCAATTGAGCTAGATATTCATTTTTGATGAAAACTGAACATAACATTGCATAAAAATATAACGGTTCTTATATCGAGTTTAGCAAAACCAAAAAATAAACCGAAGTTTCGCGCAATAGGAAAATGCAAAAAACATATGTTGCTTAAGAACTTCTGTCACTTAACGGATTTTATTTCAGCATTTGAACTACACGTTCAAATGAATATATGTAAATTTTGTAAAATAAAATTTCTCTCTCATGTTGGTAATATTTGCAACGGAACATCAATTTAAAAAATTTGGATCTATTATTCCAAACGTACATATTATTGAATAACAATTTTCGATGACGGTCTTAATCGATAACTATAAAATGGGATGAGTTATCGATATTGAACCGCTCCGTTCTGTAGATGACACTACAAATTCAATTCTGCATTCGTACATACATAGAAACGGATTGGATTAAATCGACTCAGATTGTTGAGACTATCAAGCATATATATTCTATATGCCGCCTTCTACCTGTTACATACATTATGTATTTTAACAATACCATTTTTTATACCCTGATCCCATTGAAAATGGTGCAAATGTATGTAACATGCAGAAGGAAGCATGGCAGACCCCATGAAGTATATATATTCTTGGTCAGGACGACAAGCCGAGTCGCTCTGTCCGTTTGTCTGTCCGTATGTGTGAACGTATGTCGAACTCAGCGTCTATAGGGGCTAGATTTTGTTTGTCGGTCCGTGTATAACCATCAAACATTTGATAACTATTCCCATTTAATTGTTATCGAATAAAATCATAAATGAAATTAAGTTAATAATTTATATCTCGTACGTCAGAAGAGCTATAGCCTCCAAATTTTGTATTTAGTTTTATGTATATCTTCTGCAATGTATATTTTTGTTGGATTATTGATACCGGCTCCAAATTTCCCCCAAATTCTTAGAATTTAAGTTTAGTTGGAAATAGGGCCACTATGTGCTACTCAAGTTCAGTAGCAGTGTTGGTAGAGGCGATGCGCGTAAGCAATAATCTCTGGGCTCGAGCCTAGCGACGAAGAGACATTTTATTGTTTTCTTTTATTTTTTTTTTTAATTATGAAGTGGCGTTGTTGATAGAGTTAATGCGTATTGCGTAGATAATGTGGGTTCGAATGTTGTTGCTGTAATGTAAGTTTATATTTTTTTGTGTGTTCTAAATACTCGATACAAACTATGGAAAATATTAAAAAACGCAGATACGACTGGGATAAGGGTCATTCCTAGTTGGGCACCCTGACTAGAGCTTTCTGACTTGTTTTTATGTAGACGTCCCTATTTTCAAATCATTATTTACCCCTTAACTCAACTCGTTAAATTCGGGGATGTTTTAGATGTTTTTTAAATTGAAAAACCAATTGATAAGTTGAAAATCGTAATTCTAAATCTTACGTTGCTCGTGAAAAGTAAACTTAATTGCGAGTATTCAATTTTAGGCATACCTCTCTGTGAAATATTAAAAAACTTCCTTTATTTAAAATTTTTTAAAAATCGTGCCATATGGAAATGTATAAATTTTGACTTTTAAAATGTGTTTAATGCTATACTAGCTTGCTGGCTATACTAAGTTGCACAAATAGTAATATGTAATTTTTTACTTATATCCGTAGGTTCTTCATCAGATGCAACATGTAATGCAGATGAATTTGATTGTGAAAACGAAAACGTACAAGATCGGCTTGGAATGGAGGCTATTGCTAGTTTGCATCGCCAATTAGATGATGACGATAATGGAAACATTGACTTGAGCGAATCGGATGACGTATGTGAATAATTGCTTACCCTGAACCTATTGAAAATCATTAAAAAGTCTAATAGTAACGGACAGAAGAAACTCTGGTCAACCACATAAAAGAGACATATTTTAAGCTAAGCCGAAATAGTCATTCGCGTTAGTTCATTCGTATAAATACTTTCTCAAATATGTAATTTAACATATTCGACATCTAATTATTATTTAAAAAAATTTATATTTCGATTTTTTATATCACATAACCTGAACACCAGCAAACCTTAAAATTTAGTATCTATCTTTCTATAATGAGAATGAAAAAAAAAATTTGATTTTACGGATACCTCCCTCAGTCACCGCAAAATTAAAAATGAACTATTTCAAATAGTTAAAATAGCATCGTTGTATGTAAACTTGATGTAATAAGGTATATGTATTCTTGACAGGAACAATAGTCAAAATGACCTAGAAATCAGTCTCGGATCATATAAGTTTGTATATAGAAAACTGTTTTTATGAAATCATTTTAAAATAATATATCATTTTATTTATTTGATCATATCTTATACCATTACAAACGCTAATCGAAAACTTTGGTGTAAAGATTCCTTTAAACTAAAAGTAGAAAAAATTTTTTTGGGATGGCTCAACAATTTTAAATATTTTACTGTATATACTGGTATATATGCTATGAATTTGAAGAAGGGCAATAAGACCAGTAATTTGAAACACCTACGCAGTACACCGTTAACAATATCTACTTGCTGTGTAATAAATTTGTGTGTTTGTTCGCAGTGAACAAACTTTTACGTGTTTTTTTACTTTGTTTATATCTTTTTAGTTTCTACGTGAAGAACTTAAGTATGACTCCGGATATGAAAAACGACAAAAAGCATTTCATTTCAATGATGATATGCATATTTCTGTAAAGGAACTATGGGATGCTTGGTTGCGCTCAGAGGTGCATAATTGGACCATTGAGCAAACAACCGATTGGTTGTCACAATCAGTTCAGCTGCCCCAGTATGTTGACCTTTTTAAACTACACAAAGTTACTGGTGCTGCTTTACCAAGGTACGTAATGTTATTGGACTTAATTAGTATGTGTGACTCCTTGAGCTAAAGACTGGAAATTGTAAACTTGGGCCGTCAATTACATGCGCAAATCAATCTTGTTTCTATTAATCGATATTTTATTTTTTTAATGAAATCGATTTAAAAAGTTAAAAGTTCAACCTACGTTATCAAATCAAATTTGTAATTTTATTGCAGCAAGCGTCAAAATTTTAATAAAGTTTCATACAAACTTTATACAATTTATTTATAATTTGGATACCGGCTGCAAATTTAGAGACACACATGCATTTACAATTGAAACATTCAATAGATTTATTAGATTTTAATTAATGTATTACGCGAGTACTTTACAAATCCAGTAAAGCAAATTAACAGAGTGGATGACAGGTATGGTGTCTGATATAATACATTGAAATCTTTCAATACTTTCACACCATTGGAGTCCACTAATACTGTTAATCTATAAGAATTGTGTATGCATCTGCTCGTAACGCATGTAATTCGTAACAAAAAAAAAAATATTTAAACTGTTTTATCCTTGATGTTGTTCCATGTTATGGTAAATAGTATTAATTTTGAGAAGTAATGAATGAGAAGAAATGAAATAAAAATGATAAAAAAATTATGCCATGAATAAACTCAAATATTCCAGGTAGTTATGTTAATTTTCGAGGATACTGCTGATTTTTTCCACGTTTATGGAGTTCACAGCAACTTTAGATTCACAGACGGGGAAAGTCTGTATTTGTCGCACCACCGTGCTGTTGTTTTCTAAATCAAGTTTAATCTTCTTCTATTTCTGGCTAATCGAATTTGGAATATAAGTTCCTTTTCCAACTAATCCATTTTAAAGATCTTTGTTTTTTGTATAGTCGTGTGTGGACATTTAATTGATTTCGATCTGCATATTTTCGGAATTCATTAGCTGTCTTTGTTTTATTTTTATTTCTTCACAATTGTCAAAGTCTGTAATAAGTACTGTTACCTTTAGTACACCTTCTCATATTCATACAGTGTTTCCTAATCTTATGTAACATTTTAACCAAACTTTTGTCCTGCACTGTCATAATTTTTATACCCTGATCCCATTGAAAATGGGAAATCAGGGTATAATGGTTTTGTGCAAATGTATGTAACAGGCAGAAGGAGGCATGGCAGACCCCATAAAGTATATATATTCTTGATCAGGACGACAAGCCGAGTCGATTGAGCCCTGTCCGTCCGTCTGTCCGTATGTGAGAACGTGTAGGAAATCAGGGTATAATGGTTTTGTGCAAATGTATGTAACAGGCAGAAGGAGGCATGGCAGACCCCATAAAGTATATATATTCTTGATCAGGACGACAAGCCGAGTCGATTGAGCCCTGTCCGTCCATCTGTCCGTATGTGAGAACGTGTGGATCTCAGCATCTATAAGAGCTAGAGACTTAAACATTTTGTAGGTCCGTGTATAGCACGCGCAAATCAAGTTTGTTTCAAATATTAGATCACTATTTCCATTTTATTGTTATCGAATAAAAACATGATCGAAATGCAGTTAATAAATTATATCTCGTACGTCTTAAGAGCTAAAGCCTCCACATTTGGCCAATTGGCAAAGGCACATGTCAAGCAGCACCAAGCGTACCCATTTTTTTCATACATTCAAATGCGTGTATTCTTTTCTATTCGAAGAATCGAAATTTGCGATTGAATTGTGCTGAATTATTAGCTGCTACATAAGTTAAAATTTGCAACTGCTCGAGTAAGCAGTGTAGTGGCTGCGTTGGTAGAGGCGGAGCTCGTATGTAGCTAATCTCAGGGATTTTATTGTTTTTTTTTTTTTTTAATTATGAAGTGGCGGCGTTGGTAGAGTTGGTGCACGTTGCGCAAATAATCCGGGTTCGAATCCTGGTCTCGCAATGTCGTTTTTTATTTGTTTTGTTCTTTTTTTTTGAATACTCGATACAAACTACGGAAAATAGTAATAAACGTAAATAGGACTGGGATCAGAGTATATCCTAATCGGTCACCCCGACTACAGTTTTCGTACTTGTATATTTGCTTATATTTTTTTGTATACTCGATAGAAACTACGGAAAATGTTAATAACGCAGATAGGACGGGAATCAGGATATCTCCTAGTCGGGCACCCCGTCTAGAGCTTTCTTACTTGTTTTTTGTTTTTTTAATACTCGATACAAATTACGGGAAATATTAATAAACGCAGATAGGACTTAAATCAGGGTATCTCCTAGTCGGGCACCCCGTCTAGAGCTTTCTTACTTGTTTTTTTTAATACTCGATACAAATTACGGAAAATATTAATAAAGGCAGATAGGACTGGGATCAGGGTATCTCCTAGTCGGGCACCCCGCCTAGAGCTTTCTTACTTGTTTTTTGTTATTTTAAATAAACAAGTTTTTCCTTTTTGTACAGGAAATATTAAAAATGCAATTGAGCTCTTTAAACAAGACACGAAGTCATCCTCGAAGTTCGAATACACTTCATGGAATTTTCAATTTTATTTACGAAGTAGAAATCTTGCAGGATGGTTTTAGATGAAAAATGGGAATTGCGACAACTTGTCCATAAGTAGTTTATGCATTGTTTGGATGTTCAGAAGCTAAGCGGGCTTAGTCCCATAGGTGTCAGTGTTCACTTTGAAAGTTTGAATATCATTAATATAGGGTTCTTGCCATGAAATGGACTTATATATATATATATATATGTTATGAATGTCACCTGTAAATGCAATGAAAAATATGCGAAAAAGAATGAGGAAATGAAAGAGCGTAGAATTAAAAGTCGACCGTGTCTTAGTCAAATCATTTACTTAGAACCCAGATGTAATAATTGTTGAACCATCGAATACAACTATCACCTTTGTTTAATACCTTTTCTTCTTGATCGTGTTTGGATTTCTGCGCCTGGTACCAATAACATATACACTGACGAGCAAAACTGTAACACATGTTCAATGTTCTCACTTCAACGGTCTGTATTATCTTTTCTACTTTATGCATGATTATGATCATAGTCTTGTTTTGTTAGTGAAATATTTGGCTCTTTTATCTATAAATTTGAAGACATTTGGTTAGCGATAAGAGAAATACAATAGCAAAGAGTAAAAAAAGTCAAATGTTACAGTTTTGCACTTATTTTATTTTTATTTTTTTATTTTTTTTATATTTAAAAGTGTAGAACCTGTACAATCAAATTTAGTACCTTAACAACACATGTATATATATGGAATTAGAGCCAAACCAGTCACAATATGAGGAATTCAAAGGAGACAGTTTACACCATTCCCATCGTTCTGGCTAAGCCTTGCCGTTTAAGTCGTCTTAGGGGTCTGGCAGGGATTAGACCTCTTGCAAGTAGGCTTCGGTGTCGTTACAGTCTGTCCGTGTATCTGCTTGTGTGTCTTCCAATCTGCTCTTCGACAGTAAACAGCTTAAGGTCTCTGTGAAGTATTGAGCCGCGCACATACCAGGGAGATTTGGTTATCTGTCGCAGTACTCGGTTCTGCAAAACCTGAACCCGCTTATAATTAGATTTGGCAGCAATTCCCCAGATTTGCACTCCATAGAGCCATATCGGCAGGATACACTGCACGTAGACAGCTCTTTTGCATCTCAGCGGCAAGGTGCTCTTTTTATTGATGAGCCATCGCAGTTGTTGCTGTCTGTGAGAGAGAACGAAGGACGTTTGGTACTCGATTCCACCTGAAATGGTGCGACGCTACACGCAAACTATGCCAAACCGTATAAACAACCTCAAAAAATCAAAAGGGCTGTGGACCCGTTATTAAAAAAAATGTAATAAAAATATTTGTTTAAAAATATTTGCGGTGCAAAACTGTAACATTTGACTTTTTTTACTCTTTGCCTTTGTATTTCTCTTATCGCTAATAAAATGTCTTCAAATTTATAGATAAAAGAGCCAAATATTTCACTAACAAAACAAGACTATGATCATAATCATGCATAAAGTATAAAAGATAATACAGACCGTTGAAGTGAGAACATTGAACATGTGTTACAGTTTTGCTCGTCAGTGTATCTTAGATTCTAATTTCCCAATAATAGGCACAAGCTGTGGAATGTAATTAAAAACATAAATTGTTTGGTATTCAGTACCTTCTAGTCGCTGGCTTGGTGGCAGCTCAAATAAATAAGAAATTTTGTATATTTTTTCCATGCGAACCTTTTCTCTTTTAACGTTTTTTAGTTTTTTTTTTAAACAAGAAACGAATCTTTTAAATACTTTATTCATAGTTAATTTTCCTCTTCTTTGGGCATTTTAATCTGACGATTCACTTCCACCATTCTTTATTCATAATTTAAAAAAAAAATAGTTCTTTTCTAAGAGTACCCTCTTTATTACACTCATGCACTACATCTATACAATGCAATTCTGTGAAATGCTTATGATGTATTTGTTAATATTTATATCCGTTTCTTTTAAGGGCTTGTTGTTTTTGCTCTAACCATTGGTGATTGTCTTATCTAGTGTTAATTTCGTATTTATATCTTTTTTATTTTATTCATATCCATATTATGTTCTGGGACTCCTGCATCTTTTTTTGAGTTTCATACTTAAGAAGATAATATAGTAAGATAAATGAGCGCTATAACTTAAAAGAGAAATATATCACTTAAGAACGGCGAATGAGGAATTATGAATTTCCAATCAAAACCATTATTGGAACAGTAGTTATGAATCTCAGCACGATGCTTTAAAATATGCACCTCAAACAATTTTCATTAGGTATGTAATTGGACTATTGCTCTTTCGGTTGGAGTAGATGATGGAAAAACGTTGCATATCACACATGTGCGTAGTCTCAATATACAGTTTTAGCTATTTCCAATGGCTATGGTTGACGAGTCTCATCCCATTAAGACATCACATGCACTGTAAAATGATTTTAGCTCTGATTAACGTAAGTAGATTTTGCCTATCTTAATCATCATCAAAGATTAGCAACTTGCTTCTCTAGGGAGAATGTAGCA